CTCCAGTTGGATGTTAGGGGGGAAATATCAAGAGCTCAGTTTTTTAAAGGTTACGTTTTAAGAAGTGTTGCGACATCCAAGAAGAAGTGTTGCGGGATACTTACATAGTATTTCTGATAAACCATATCATACCCCTCACAGTAAGCCAAGCTCTCTATTCACCACAGTGCATGCCACTAGAAGTTGGGCCTTCACTCTCAGATATCCCAGCCTAACACTAACATTTAATAACATGTTTATTATTTAAAGCTTGCCCTGGCTGATATCCAGTCATGTATTGTCGTCTCCTATTTTTGGTTCAGGGTCTTCCTGGGGACGGAAACATTACGGGCCATTGGTTTGCATTAAACGTCTTTTGTATTCTGATACAAGTCTATGGGATGCAAAACTTTCTTGAAGCGGGTCAAATATAGATCAGAAGGAGGCCAACTCCGGGTCAAATGCCCCTGTCAGTGAATTCTAAATGATCTCAAAAGCATCTCAAACTGATGACATCAACATAAGCCCAAAGCCCATTCAGACCAGCCCTTAGAGTGTCCTATGGTACTCACACTGGGGTAACGTACTCATATCTCCTCCATGTCAGATCCGACGAGGGATGCTGCCTTCCTGTGAGATGCCATTGAGACGTCACTCAGCCTTGCCTTCCTATGCTGTTTAAGCCGCCAAATTCAAGCAATGTGCACGCCGGACGAGTCCCTGATTATCATCCTGCAGCATCTCTTCCTTCACTGCTCTATTGCGGCTCCACAATCCTGTGCCGGCTGTGGGTACCTCTATCAACCTTTACTGCTGGCTGAACAGACCTCCTCTCCAGTCTTATCCACTTGAGTCCCACACTCTTCACTGCTGTTTCAGCCATCCTGCACCTGCAGTCATTACCAGAAACAACCATCTCTCTTTGTGCAAACAGCTTCCCAACTGCTTGCTTCATCTTCCCTGCATCGTCCTTGCTTACCGATCATCGCTGCCTCTAGGCCATGGACATTCTAGAAACGCAAGTGCCCAGACTATAATATCAAAATAAAAATCCCCGTACTCAAAGTGAACCTTCCACTTTAGTGAAAAGGTCCCGGTATTCAACGTGTCCCGCCTCTCAAACCTTGAAATGATATACAGAAGTACCTGTGTGTGTGTGTGGCGGGGGGGGGAGATACTTACCTTTGCCCAACATCCTTCCACAACACCTAGGCGAGGGTGTCATTAGTGATTCTACTTCAGATCAGATGTCAAAGGATGTTGAGTAGCCCAAATCTCATGAGAAGCCGATCCTGCATTGTGCTGCAGCATCTTCTGCTGAGATTCGGGCTACTCAACATTCCTCGGGATCTTGTTGGAAGGAGGAGGACATTACGCAATGCACTATTGAAGTCGGGGAAAGGTGAGTCGAACTAGTCCCCCCTCCTCCCCCCCCCCTCACATAGGTATTTCTATGCTGTGTTTTAGAGTGGGGAGAGGGCACCGTGAATTAAGCAGACCATGGCACCGATGTGGAAAGTCCACTGTAACTTCAAAAAAACATTCTGTCTGTGTTGCTGTCAGAGAAATCGCCCCTCACTTCCTGTACTGGGGACAACCTTTTTGGCAAACGGGAAGCGAATAAATCTCTGTAATGGAGCCTCCCGCGGCAGTAACACCTAACAGAAGGACGGCATTGTAAATCCTCAGGGAACCATACTGGCCACAGTGGATGTGGAAGCATTATATTTCTCCATTCTTCATTCCAAGGGGGTGGAGGTTATATGAAACATACTGAGCCGACCTGTGACAGTCTCATTGTCACAGGTCGGCTAGAACTATGAGGAGGAGTGAAAAGCACCCACCTCATAGTTCTCCTTTAATACCAGACGAAGGGGAATGTGATCACACACTGATCTTGGGGTTCAATTGTTGTGGTTTCTTTTGGAGCACAATAAATTTGTTTTTGACGATACATGTTATTGCTAAGCAGAAGGCACAGCCATGGGCATGAAATGTGCCTTCAGATTTGTTGCTTGGTGAATGGGAAAATCAGCATTTGGAGATTGATTCTCTGTTGATGTGCCCGCCCAAAATGTTGTGTTGGTACAGGTACATCGATGATATATTCATCCAATGGGCAGAGAGTAAAGGTGAACTAGAGGAGTTCATTCACACAACGAGACAAAACCATTTCAACCTTAAGTCCACTTCTGAGTGCAGCTCTAACTTGGTCACTTTTATTTGGATCTCTCATTAGGATTAGGACCAGGTGGCTCAATCATTACAAAGCTTCATAAGAAGCCGACTGCTACTAACACTTTATTACATGTGAAAAGTTTCCACTCCAAGACTTTCCTGGCAGACAATATCCCGGAGCTGGGAGGAACTGCACGCGTAATCATGACTGTGAAAGTGATGCAGATGTATTGAAAAGTAGATTTTTGAACAGAGGATACAGCCAACAATGGGTCAGTAGAGCGTACCATAGAGCAAAGGATATGACACAAGATGACCTTCTGTATGGGAATAAAGAAAGGAGAAGTAACAAACATAGTTGGGTACATGTGAGATATACAAGTATATGTAATCAGATACGGGACATTTGTGACAAATATTGGTGTCTTGTAATGAATGATGTAACAGTGAGAGAGTTTATAGCAAATCCTAAGGTCACTTACAGGAAAGCTAGATCCACTGAAGATATTTGAGTACATAGCTCCTTCCAACATAGAGCCCCGGGAGATAGAAAATGTGTCAGTTGCCTGCCCTGTAGAGGTGCTGGAAGCCATAAATGTGATGTCGCTGTGCTCCAAGCATCTCTACAGGACTCATGAGGGAGCTGTAACCAATCCAAGTATGGATAGATGGAGCTCCCTTCCAGCAATAGCCCCATCCCATCCCACCTCAAGCTGACACTCGGCGCTGGGCAACATATTTTGAATGGCTGCTCAGCATGAGAACCGACAGTGCAGCGCTAGGGGGAGGCAGAGGAGCCTCTCACCTAGAAAAGTGGAAGGCACGCGGTGACCCAATGAACACGGGGTCGCAACCCACTTTTGGGTCATGACCCACCAATTGAGAACCAAGGATCTACAGTATATACTGATTTGCACTCGTGGTGCTTTCTATATAGAGAAAACCATTAGGAAGGTCAAAAAACATTTACATGACAATCTGTATGGCATCCAAACCTTTCATTAGAGGTTCCCTGTTACACGACACTTTGCCTTCAGTCATAACGGAAGTACTGAAGGTCTGAGAAGGGGGGAGACTGAAAAGGTCTTTTGGGGGCTTCAGGAAAGGTGATCTCAACAAGATAATCTTACAGAGGAAGTAGATGGATTTGACGTCACAAGCCGCCCATCCCCCGGGTTTCATTGATAATTTTGGCTTTTTTTTTTTCATTTCTCTTCTTTTCTTCATTTTCTTACATGAATGGGTATATGGAGGAAATGTATTATTATTTTACATGTTTAGATATATTGATTTCCCAGATGGCAATTTATGGGGAAATGGATAAGAAGAGTCCTGAGATTGTGAATAATAGAATATATGATATTTTTTGGATATATTGGTTACATCATAGGTGTGTGACCCGTGTATGGTGATAAATTAAGTATAACAGTTAAATAAAACCATGTGTGGTCCCCATGTAATCAATTTACCCGATGTGTTGGGTCACTAATTGTCAGGTGACATGTCCACTGTTTACATCATAGTTCTTTTTGGTCTCCAATATGGTGGCTGATGGCGGGGATGCTGCATGTGCCTGCTGTTAGTGGGGGGGCGGGCCTGCACATGCACAGTTCTTTCTCCACATACATTTCCTCTGGGTATGTGCCATGGTGTTGTGACGTTGAATGTGTGACATGATCGACCAGGCCTTGGTGGTACACAGCATGCTTGCGATCATTGCGGCGAGGACATTTTCACAAGGTTTCATTATGTATATTAATGAGCAATACCTTGGCAAGGATAGATCTCTGAGGAACCCAGGAAAGACTTCCGAAACCAGTCAGTCAGATCTTACTACCCACCAACCATTGGGACTCTATTAGTAATCACGCTATGTCAGTCACTTTGTCTCTCACTGCCTGGGGATTGGTGGACAACGTCATGTTTTTCTGTTCTTTTGAGCAGCAAATTGTAAGTAGACTCTTTGCATATACAGGTGAAACTGGAATAATTAGAATATCGCGCAAAGTTCATTTATTTCACTAATGCAACTTAAAAGGTGAAACTAATATATGAGAGACTCATTACATGCAAAGCAAGATAGTTCAAGCCGTGATTTGTCATCATTGTGATGATTATGGCTTACAGCTCATGAAAACCCCAAGAACCCCAAATCCAGAACCTCAAAAAAGTAGATTATTACATGCAATCAATAAAACAAGGATTGTACATAGAACAATATCGGACCTCTGAAAAGTACAAGCATGCATATGTACTCAGTACTTGGTTTGGCCCCTTTTGCAGCACTTACTGCAATTACTTTTGCACGATATTCTAATTATTCGAGTTTCACCTGTAGTTCTGATCTGTCTCTGAGTTGTATCTCCATATACATTAATGTAACCACCTTATAGGAAGGTAACTACATTACAGTAGGAGTTATGGAATATGATTGATACTTGTTTCCTATGCTCCTCATCTCCACCTAGTGACCATTATGTGGTATTACATTCTACCTGAAAAGTTAATAAAAAATATACTTAAAACACTCATTTTCTTCTGTATTCGCACAGAATGAACGTTCACAGAGATTCGCAGGGTGAATAGCTCTGTGAATTGTTTATAAATAGACCCCATAGACATGAACACAGCAGTTTTTGTTTTTTCTGAGTAACATAGTTTTATTTTTTTTTACATCCATTATTTGACAACTACAACTACAAGGTGTGCAGTGGAAAACATCCTCTTCCAGACAACTAGGAAAACATAGACGTGTCAAAGTTTCGGAGATCTGGGGTAAATGTTCCCTATAGAAATGACATTTTATGAACGTCAGCATTCCTTCTGCCCGGTACTTCTGAGGTTCACCAGCAGACGTCATTCTCAGTCATGGTGCCATTGTAGACTTCCACCTCGCACAGGGTCAACTGTTCACTGCGCCCCGGGATCACCGCGCTGATGTATCGACCCGCCAACCCATTACAGCAGAAAGTTGTGGTGGGATTATTAGAGTTGGTGATCGTGCCGCACCTGCCAAGGACAAGTAAAGACCAACACAATGATACGGAAAATGGAACCCGTTCACTTGGGGGGAGAGTCACAAAAATGGTCCCATAGAAAACACTGCTATGCGGCTTAATAAAACACAAATAAGTATAATAACTAGGCAACAGAGATGAGCGGAGTGACTTCGGGGAAAACCTACTAAACTCACTATTAAACCGTACCCGTTTTACCATGGCAAAAGCAAACCGAAGCCAGGACAGTCTGTGTGCTATCATAATTGGTTCTTAGCAACTATTCTGTATTGGTTGCTTATATGCAGACAGGCCTAGCCTAACAAACCAATGTTGCTATGGTTCTGCCTGTGTCTTAGCAACTAGCATCATTGGTTGCTAAGATGTTGGCAGCTCCACAGCATCATAGGTTGTCATAGTTCACCCGCCTGGATCCTAGCAACCACAGATGCCATGTGGCTCTGCCACCAGTCAACCAATGACATTGGACGGGTCACACAGCATCATTGGTTGCTAGGACAAAGAGAGAGGTTTGGCAGGTGGGCAAGCTGGGCAAACTTCACCCATTCTTAAGCATGCATGTGCATGCGTGCTTGAAGGTGGGCTGGGCTCTCACTCTCACTTTGTCTGGTTGGCTCCAGGTACCCCAGTCTAATTTTATATTTAACAACGTCTTTGTTATCAAAAGCTAGCCCTAAAATCCAGACATGTATTGTCGTGTCCCATTTTGGGTACAAGGTGGTACTGGGGGCCTACCACGTTTAAGACCTATGTTGATAACCTTTAGTTCACAAAAGATGAGTTTGGTAAGGTGCCCATACACTGCACGATTATCGTACGAGAATCGCGATTGTACGATAATCGCAAAGTGCATGGAAGGCGTGCGACCGTTTCTACTGTCGTCTTCCGTCGAACAAGCAGGCTGGAAAACCCGCCGGGAATCGTACGATTCTCGGAGAGTTAGGCCCCATTCACACCTGACCGTTTTGTAGCGCGTCCTACGCTCGATGAACGCTCTACAAAACGGTCAAAAAAATAAATAGCACTGTAGTCAATGGTATCGTTCCCACCTGTCCGTATTTCCGCCCGTCCCGAACGCACTACAAAACGGCCCACGCATGAAAAGGTCCCGGAGCGTTTTTTGTGCGTATTGGTCCGTTTTGTAGCGCGTTTTCCATTTGGATACTGCCAAGTAGCCTTTGGAATCGCGCAACTTTTTTTACCGTGAATCGCGGTAAAAAACCGCGTGACGGTCGCGCGACAGACGCGCATATTACAATACGCATAGGTGTGAATGGGGGCTGAGTGGCCTGCTTGTTCGACAACTGACGAACGGGCCGGTGTGCGCACACTGCCCGTTTGCAGTCGTCAGAAGCCCCGCCCCTCATTGCAGTCATCGGAAGCCCGCCCCTCAGGGGGGCGGGCTTGCAATGATCGCAAGTACGATCTGCCTGTCCAAGATGGGCAGATCGTACAGTTTTTTTAAAAATTACTTTACAACCCTTTGCAAGACAAGAGTCTTGGCCACCTGTATTCTGAAACAAGTCAAGTAAATGGAATACAAGTCAGAAGCAGGTCAAATTGTGAGATACTCACCCGATCTCCGGTCCGTAGTCGGCGCAGGGAGGGACTCACAGTCCCGCGCGCACTGCTGGCTCCGCCCCCTCAGCAACTCAAGCTGTGAACGCTCAGTCAGCCGGCGTCCGTGCAATGAGGAAGATGCCGGCCAGCCTTGCCTCACGTCCTCATCTTCTCAGCCTGCCCGTTGCTGACAGGCAGTCTCTCCCCCTGGCTCCGGGACACTCACTAGCCGCAGTGGAAGTGACAACACTCTGCCTCCTACAGCTGATCCACCCGGCACCTACCAATCACAAGTACAGACTGTCACTGCCAAGCTACATAGCCAGCAAAACAAACTGCTATATCCCAGGCTATACTCAGCTGTTACCCATAGCAACTACTGTACTACTAAGTGACTATAATACAACCCTACTGCTATAACCTGCTGTTGCCGCTAACAACCACAGCAACTGCTGAGTTATAAATTATCTGTAGCTGAGATCCTAACCCAAACAGGCCAGATCCATTACTCAAATGCACATGCAGATCAGAAGTAGGCCAACTGCAGGTCACGTGTAGCTGTCAATGAATTCTGAATCATCTGAGAAGCATCTCAAGCTGATGCCATTGACACAAGCCCACTAACACCGGCCCTTACAGTGCCCTGGCCCTGAGGTACTCACAGCGGGTTGTAATTGTCCGGAGAATCTCCAATTCGGACCTCGAGATCCTGTAAGCGCCACAAACCGTAGTCCGACCTGCCATAGACCACAATAACATACACGCTCTGCTTCTGTTTCAGGTCCAGTCTCCACCAGGGCTCCCAGTCTGCAATTGTGTGGCTACAGGAACCATGATAAAAGTTCTGATCTTTCCCACCATCAATGGCATTGCTGGCAACGGTAGTTACACCTGAATAAACGAGAGTAGAACTCTGCGCGGCTTCCCCGCTTCTGGCGATATTGAGGGCTGAAGAAAGAAACAGAAAACACACTCCATAGTTATACATATAATGTTCTTCCATTGTTCTAAAGACGTCTCCATCAGGAAATAGACTGTAAGCTGCAACGTTGTCACTAATTTGCCGGAACATTCTGTAATGTAATGAATTGCTGATGTCATTATATAATAACGAATACTAATATTAATCACTAAAACTCCATCTATACCCAGAACTTATAGAATGGGAACAGGTTAGAACTAGGGATGTCCCGATACCACTTTTTCAAGACCAAGTACAAGTACTGTCCCTCATGTACTTGCCGATACCAATTACCGATTCTTTTCTTAAAGGGACATGCAACATTTTTTCTAAAACAAATGCAGACTAATAATTTTAGGGCAGTTTCTTGTGGAGCATGTTCATAATATTTCCCACAACCAATCTAATGTCTCAGTCATTGCTTCATATCAGCAATTCTTTGTATAACTTCAAGTTTAATTGGGAGAAGTGGGACAGATTGGAAGAAGCAGGGGAGAATTGTTGCTCTATTTCTGCAACCTGATCATTTAAAGAGTTATAATTCTCCCCCGCTAGCTTGAATAGGTCAAATCAAATGATCCATTATACACAGTACACACTTGCAGTACACTGCATCAATAGTCCCCAGCTAACCACAATAGGTTACATTTTACCCTATCCAGGTTAGCTGGGTAGAATTGTATTTCTGCAGTGTACTGGAAATGTGTACTGTGTACTATGGGTCATTTAACGGTTCAATGATCCAGAGTACACAGTTCCAGGACCAGTACACTGCAGAAATAGAGTTACATGTCTTCCCTGCTTCTTCCAATCTGTCTCACACCTACAGCCAGCCCTGTCACAGCTGCCACATACAAAAGCAAAACATACAAGCCTGCGGTTGTTGAGGATCTTGGTGCCGCGGGCGTGGCGCTGTCGGCGGTGGTGGTGTGTGGGGGGAGAGGGGGGGGGTTGTGGTGCTGTTTAGGGGTTGTGGCGGTGCCCCCCTCTGCTTCTTGCTTTGGCGCTGGATCAGCATCTTTTGCATGCGTCATTGAGGCCGGTAATTGATGCAGATTTATTTGATAGGCAGCAACTTGTTTACCGATAGCTTGTTGGCCTGTTTGGTGGATCCAATTGCATCTCTATCACCTCTGTGGCGATAGGGGGCTTTGCGCATGTGGGGGATTCTGATGTTTCCATACAGCGTTGGAGCAGGGAATGGAGGAGCAGCACTGTCAGGTGGGAACCCCTCTCACTGACAGTGCTGTACCTGCGTCATTGAGATCTTTAATCACCACAGTGGTGATGGAGATTTGGTGGAATCAATTTAATAGACTAACAAGCTGTGCAGCCCCTCTACTCCCTGCCGCCCTGAGGCCATGCCCACAGTGGCCTTGTAAAGAATACGGCCCTCTGAGCAGCGTGGGTTTCTGGATAGGGTTGCCACCTTTTCTTCAATTAGCAACTCCGGAGGTACGTGTAAGTGAGGAAGTCCCATCTCTAGGATGGGGGAGGGGAGAGCTTTCACAGACACACAGATGGACACACTCACCAGATAAGAAGATCTAGCTGCAAAGCGAAGCGCCTGAGGCCCGGTATCAGGCTCCCAGCGGACATGCCATGCTTTCCTGCACCTCCCTCACTCTCCTGGCCGCGCTGTGGGAGGAGCTTCTGTGAGGTCCTAGTTCAGCTGCCCGTACAAGCGCGGTACCTCGGGGCAGCCTGAAACTATTTTAAACATTAAAGTGGCGGTATCGGCGCTATGTATCTGGGCATTTTCGCAAGTACAAGTACTTGTGAAAATGCCCTGTATCGGCCCGATGCTTGTATCGGTATCGGGACATCCCTAGTTAGAACCCCTGTCAGGTTTTCCTGCTACCCGGGGCTCCGTTAGAGAGATTTCCCCTCACTTCCTGTTGTGAAGCTTTTTTCCAGACAGGAAGTGATGGACCACAGGGAAACAGATTACAATAAAATGCTGACACATCTCCTTTCGCTCTAACAAAGACTATACAATACAAGGGCCTGTCTGATTGGATAGAAATTGATTGGTTGGATTAGGTAGGTCCTCATATTACATTGGCTGTTCACTTTACAAGGGAATGTGCACTTAGCTTAGTGATTGCGGTGAAAATTTCAATTTTCAAAAAATACCCAATCAAGGAAAACAGTATTTTTGCTTGCACCCGATTGGAAGATGGAAGTCCATAGAGCTTCACCTCATTCACTAAGCTGTGGGAAAATTCCCTTGTATAGTGATCAGCCGATTTGCCATCAATAAAATTAAGGGTCCCCACACACCTTACGATAATCGTACGATAATGGAGGGAAATCCTGCGATCGTACGATTATCGTAAGGAGTGTGGAATGGTTCGAAACCCCGCCGAGCAGGGTACGACGTGCGGCGGGTTTGTGGCATGTCCGTACGATAACAGCCGTACGGGCCGGTGTGCGCAAGCGCACACTGCCCGTTCGGCATTGCGGCCATCGGAAGCCCGCCCCCTCAGGGGGCGTGGCTTGCGATCATCGCAAGTACCATCTGCCTATGCAACATCCCTACTGGGATTTCTAATATAGGGATCGTCCTTTAATTGTAACACTTCTGATTTGGTAACTTCCTGTGGCTCTGCAATGAGTGACGGCCTCCATTATATTATAAATGTATCACCGGCGCTCACCTAAAAACCGGACTGACTCCAAAGTTTCTACACAGAGTCCTTTCTAATCTCTCATCAGCAGAGTATATCAGTAGTAGGGATGAGCTCAGGTTTGGACCGAACCCGGTCAATTGAAAGAATGTTACCATATTGATGTTCTGTCCGGTATTCCAGCTGTATGGGGGGAGATGGAAGGGATTTGTGATGAGTAGTTGGATGATTGGTTCTCCGCTTCCAGATTTGAAGGAAAATCTGTTAGACTTGCCTCTTACATCTACAATGTAATCAGAAAGCTGGGCAGCAAGAAATGATCCGCCTCCCGGCTTCCTGATTGACCGGGAAGTTGGCTTTCCAGCCAATCAGCATGGAGCCAGCTTCAATCAGGAAGCCGGGAGGCGGATCATGACTCGCTACCCTGCTTCCTGATTGGACGGGAAGCCGACTTGATGCTGATTGGCTGGGAAGCTGGTTTCCCATCCAATCACAATCAGCCGGGTAGTATGCCATCACCCACCGCCCGGTTTCCTAATTGGCGGAGAAGCCGGCTCCATGCCAGCAGAAGCATCGGTATCGCTGCATCCCTAATCACAATGTATTGAATCATCAGTGTATTGGAATGGATACAATGTAAAATACAGCGGAGTTTTCAAAGTCAGAGCCGTCCATTGTGCTCCCCATTGTAGAAGGAGCGGGATACTGCAAGGCTGGAACTCCGGTGCATGCCTTCCAGACTGGGCGCGATTTATCGTTCACCTGAATGGCACTCCAGTCCAGATTCTTTCTTGGCTCTATCTCTGGGATCTGTCAGTGAAGGGAAGCTGTCTGTAATGACAGGCATGGAGTAACACAGTGTTTCAGTACATAAGAAGCTCACACTGGTGGCCAGCAAGGTGTGAGGTCTGAGTCAGGAGAGCCATGCATGTGCATTTAGGTGTTCAGTAGGGATGAGATCCGGTTTGGACTGAACCTGAGCTCATCACCCAAGAAGGAGGCTGCCAGTGTCGGTCCAATCAGCTGCAGCCCGGGGCATTCCACGTTCTGCAGCTGCATGTAAACAATGGGTTGGGATGATGGTGACATCATTGATCTTATATGCCACATGGCCTTGTTTGGTCAATGACAGAACAGATGATCTCAGGTTCAGCCCCTCGTGTTCTATACAGGACTTTCCAGGTGTCACTCTCCTCTTTCTCAGGACTGGTGACGACTTTTGGCTCTCACCTTGATATCAGCACCACCTCACCCCTTCCGGCCTGCTTGTTCCATACTTCCATGTTTATCTTTCATGAAAATAGAATGTATTCTTGTCCCATGTCCTGAGTGCAGAAATCTCCTCACCCCTACTTATACAGTTACAACTTTCTCTGATATTCGGGGTATCAGAACTTTGTAGATTGCAGCAGCTTCCTCTAATATACAACGGACTGATACACAAAGCTCTGCAAAGCAAATCCATTTTTCTCTATATCACCTAGCTACTGTGGTGAGAGTGTAGTCAGACCTTCCTCCTCATCTAGCGCCCCATAGTCATTATTATTTGCTTTTTAAGCTTTGTATTATACTTACATCCAGGTTGAGGGGTGCAGCACCGAACCAGATCCAATGACCCCAGCAAAAGCAAAGCCACCAGATCCTTCATTCTGGATGGGACCTGAGGACACAGAGAGTCCATTACCATACTCAGACAGTGACATAATACAGAAATACATGTACTTGCCTAATGAACCGATCAATAGGTCAGTTAATGAAATAATAGAACAAACATCATATACATGGTACCTAGGCCCATTCCTAAAATGAGGCTGCCTGAGGCTCAGGGTGAGACATCTCTTTCAGTCACATAGGGGGGGTTTGGGGGGCAGCAGGCAGAGCGGCAAAGCCACTATGATGCACAATGCCCTCTTTACAGCCAGTGCATCCCAGTTTGCTAAGAGCCAAGCAGAGAGATGTGTAACGGCCATACACATCTCCCCACCCAACTCTTAGCAAGCCGGGTTGCTCTGGCCACCATCTCACCCAGCTCCTGACAACCAGTGACATCACTGGACGGGAACTGGAGCTATAATGCAGAGGCTCCGCCCACCCACCTGCCTTTCTCCCCTGGTTTTGTGCACCATACCCCACCATCACCCCTCCCCCCCCCCACTGCTGCCACCAAAGCTGGTGAAATTGCTAGGGACCCCACTGACCATAAAATCATCAAAAGTCAAGAATAACATTTTTTTTACATTTTTGGCACCGTTTTTATGGGCATTATAACACGGCCTTATGATGCAGATGCACAGTATACTTTTGCATAATGTCATTGTATATGTTGTTTGGAAACATTTATAAAACTTTTATGAAAAAAATAGGATTCTGTGTTCCGTAGCTTTTATCCCTCGCGTTCCTGCGAGCGCCCTGGGGGAAAACCGTGTCTGTTCACCTGTGTTTGGGGTCCCTTTACTTAGCAAGGGCAACCCAAGCTTGTTCCGCTTTGTGCATGTAACATTAATGCTGTGGGTCTGTCTTTGCCAACTCTAGCTCCATGAGGAGGGCAAATCACACTATATAAATTCTAACCTATATAACAATGCTAATATTAACTGAGGCTATGCATCTCATATTCTATGCCCCTATTGGGGCGGCACACACGTAGAAGCCCGCACATTTGATGTGCGTTCACGATGCCCCCTGGTGTAAACGGGGCCTTAGCTATGCCTGTAGTTGTTTTAGAAATCAGCAATCTGTCTTTCTGGTTTGAATATTGTTTCATTTTCTCTATGAAACGATGTAGACCGGAACATTTCTACAATCCTAAAACAACTAGCAGGTGATGTTGTTTCTCATTGCCCCTTTGATACATTCATATTAATAAAAAAAATCTTCTAAATAAATAATTGAATACAAACGATGTTCCAAAAGCATAACATGCATATAATATATGTCATCATTCATCAATGGACATTCATTTGTTTAGTGAAATAGAAGTGTGCGTTGTGCAGAAACCAAGTAGTAGATTATAAATGGCGGATTCTCTCTAGATTACTCTCTACATAACATCGTTCTAAAGAATTGTGAGGGGGGAATGCTGATACTAATGGAGGCAGGAATGGAGGTCCAAGACTGAAATATGTTTCTATACAGGATCATATTTAATGTCAACATTTATTGGAAAGGACACCCAGGGCACTCAGGAGAAGACCCGAGACACTCAGCATTAGATATGGGCACTCAGTAGAAGATCTGGGACACTCAGCATTAGATATGGGCACTCAGTAGAAGATCTGGGACACTCAGCATTAGATATGGGCACTCAGTAGAAGACCTGGGGCACTCAGCATTACACCTGGGGCACTGAGCAGAAGACCTGGGGCACTCAGGAGAAGACATGGGCACTCAGCATTAGACATGGGCACTCAGGAGAAGACATGGGCACTCAGCATTAGACATGGGCACTCAGGAGAAGATGTGGGGACACTCAGCATTAGACATTGGCACTCAGTAGAAGACCCAGGGCTATCAGCATTACACATGGAGCACTGAGCAGAAGACCTGGGGCACTCAGCTGTAAACCTGGAGCGCTCAATGGAAGACCTGGCCCACTTAGCAGAAGACCTAGGGCACTCTGTATTAGACACGGGGCACTCAGCAGAAGACCAGGGGGACTCAGAATAAAAACTCAGGGTACTAAGCAGCAGACAACAGGCACTCAGCAGAAGACCTAGGGCATGTGCCACCGATGCCGGGGTCTAGCAACGTCCCTGGCTGTAGACACAAAAGAAAGTGAAAAGAAATATCTAAGAAGTGAGTAAAGTCCCCTCTTAGATGGTTGTTGCTGAAACTGGCGCCCCCATTAGAAGACTTTTAGAAACAAGATGTCTTGCTGCTCATTCCAATGATTTACAAAAACCCATAAACACACATTCATTATATATATATATATATATAGGGCAGGAAGCGGAGGGAAATCTCTTTAAAGTGTCAGAGATGCGTTTTTCTAATTAAAAAATAAATCAATTTGATACATTTTAATTTCTCTGTTACCCTCAGAATGACTTTGCTCCTCTTTGCTTTTCACACAAAGTATCCCCCCCCCCTTATGTACACCAACAGGTATTATGATGGTACTCACCTGTACAGAGTCTTTCAGCCAGTGACACATGTACGGCCTCCGTTGTATAGTTATAGGATATCTGCTTTTCATATTTCCTCCCGCCTCACATTTCCACCACACTGCGGGCGGGAACCTGGTAGGTATTATAGCTATAATGTATTTTGCCTAATTACCTGGGGGGGGGGGGG